GCGGGCTCGGCGTCCTCCGCCCGGTGCGGGCGAGGCCGGCGTGGGAGCCCCGTTGGTCCCGGGAGGGCTGGGAGGAGGGCCTCGCCCGCGCAGGTGCTGCTCCCGGCCGGGGCGCCCGGCCTCAAGGGCGGACTGTCTGGTCGGCTGGTGCTGCGCGTTTTCCAGGCTTGGGTCCCTTCCCCAGCCTAGTGGGTGGGAGGAGGTCCCCGCCTTGGGCACAGGTTACCGGCAGGACCCCAGCCCTGCTACAGGGCGATTCTGAAAACCTTGCTCTGAAGAGCAGTCTGGGACCACTGCCTGTGGACACGCCAGTCTCCGTGCGCAGCCATGTGGGAAAGGACTTGCTGGCCCCCTATGGCCGGGGCCAGGCGGGGACTGGGCGGCAGTGAGCCCACACTTGAGTGCCTTCATCGGGGAGGCCCACCCGCCCCGTTTTTCCAGCTGATGAATGACTCCAGAGGACGAGAAGCTGCGTCCCACTCCCGCTCAGAGGAGGGCGAGGTGCGGGCACAGGATCCCGCTGAGCGGTCAGGGGCTGCCCAGTGCTCCGGAGGCATGATACCTGTGTGTGCATCTGACCATGGATTACATATGCAGAACGGTGGTGGGAGGGTCCCACAGACAGGATGAACTTGATAGCTGCAGCTTTGGAAAGAACAAGAGGGAAGAGAAGACAGGAAGTGAGGAGAGGAGGGGAGGAAAAGAAACCGAACGCGTTATGGAATGAAGCCTGGAAATATCAAAGGTGACAAAAATGACTTCAGTTGTATTTCGAGCAAGGAGATGAATGGGAAAAGAAAGAGCTCTTTGAAATAATAAGGAAGATTAGTGGAGTGCAAGCATACCTGGGCCCTTCCAAGTCCCTCTCCCCTCCAGGGTAAGGCCCGGCAGACGGCAGTCAGGACAGTCCTGGGAGGGCGTGCAGGGTCACTGATGGCACTCGGCTGAAGCCCTGGCTCCCTAGTGCTCTGCAGCTCGGCGGAGGCAGGCCGAGTCGGGAGCAGCTGGCTGCCGCCCTGGTGTCAAGGGTTGCAGAAGAGAGGCGAGAGCACCTTCCCGTACCCAGTAACCTCCAGAGCACACGTTTGCACAAGTATTTTAATCCAGTCTAATAAGGGAAGAGAGCAAATGCGCAAGAGGAGCTGAATTGTCATCTTGCCCAGTAAGGGGACGCAGCTTCAAAGTCACCATAGCTTTCCTGCTATGCAGTCGCCATGTGTCTGGGGACAGGGTGACCTTTCCCAGCGTTTGGTAACTCCACGAAGAACAGACAGGTGCTCCAGCTTAAAAGGGCCCCCCCCATCTGCATGTCGGGATGTGGTTTTATGAGGGGCATCCGGTGATTCATGGAGTCCAGGAAAATGCATACATGAGGAAACTATGTGGGTTTCAGATTTTTCTTACTGCAAGAAAACACACTTTAGTTCTGCTTTCTGCGGACTCTTTGAGCATGGTGAGGTATTGAGAGAATTAATTGATGACAGTGTGGGGGGTGCACAGGCTTCGGGGTGGGAGTGTGACCGAGTCCTGGTGGCCTATGGGGAGGGCTCACACCTTCCTGTCCACCAGCAGAGAGGCCCTCACCAGACACAGTCCCCAGCCCTGGGCCTCCAAGCTGTGACTGATCTGATGAACCTCTGCTTTCCACAGACTACCTAGACTCGGGTCATTAGCAAGAGAATAGCCTAGAATACAGAGTCAAAGAATGGGCAGATAGAGAAGTCCCAGTCTGAGGAGAGGCATATTCTTTCTTTTGGAGAGGTTTTTTTGTTTCTGTTTTTGTTTTTTGCTATACGCTGTGTGCACCCACCAGAGAGACAGAGACAGAGAGACAGAAAGTGAGAAATCACCCCCCAGTGGGGATGGCCACACCGCAATCCCTTCTCCTCATTCTCCTCTCTGGCGGATCTTGCGCACGCACGCACACGTGCCCGGCGTGAGTTTAAGCCACCAGGTCCAGGACTCGAACCGCGGTTGACTACTTGGGAGTCCAGTGACATAGCCATTACACTAACTGCTGGTCCCCAAGGAGAGGCATATTCTGGTACCTCTGTAACAATTAGGTCTGAGGCTGACCCTTGGTTAGAGGCTGGAGAAGACCATGACAGCACAGTTTAGTGCAGAGTGTCATTCATGACCAGCTCCTTTCTCTGGAAACAGCCACAGAACTCATGTGCGGAACTTGCCAACTACAGCCACCTTCTCATTATCTTGGAGACAAAATGAATTAAATTGCGTGTTTGTGTGAACAAACTCCACGTTCCCAGTTTGCACAGAGTGGCCCCACGTTCATTGATCGGCACTCATGTGTGGTCGTCTAAGGAGTCCCCTGAGCTAAGAGACCTGCTGCCCAGCGGGTTCTGCAACTGTATATGTGTATATATATATTTATATACAGGAAAACATATATGTTAAAAATCCAGATCTGAGATTGAGCCAAACTGAGGGCTGTGCCAATTTGTAAGATGCCGAAACTCGGAGCCCAGAAAGCACTTATCTTTGGATGTCAATCTAAAACAAAGGAAATAAACCAGGGGTAGAATGCTTTTTGAGGTCCTGCATTTGGGGTTTGCTTAAAACCACATGTAGAATCTCCTCAGCTATTAAAGGGGGCTCTAGCCGTCGACACGGTTGTGGGCCCAGGACAGGGCGGGCTCTGTGAGGCTGCAGTTCTGCGGGGAAAGGCACCCAGCTCAGGTGCAGTTTGGGTGGGAGGGGGCACTTGGGGTAAGCCATTCCCGAGATTTTTCTACTTGGGGACATTCTTTAGCAGAAGTACTGGGGGTCGAGACCAGCCAGGCAGCAGGCTCGTGGACAGAAGGCACACAGCTCAGAGGAAACAGACTCGAGGGTGGATGTGGCAGCAGGAAGGCGGCCAGCCCACATCTGGGCAGTCCCCCAGTGCCATGGGTGTGTCTGGGCCATGTGTGCTCGGGGCATGATGCTGGAGGCCCCGAGGAGGCCGTGGCCAAGGCTAGAATCTGAGGGCACCTTGGTGAGCAACGTGCATGTTTGCCTGAGACCTCCAAAAAGGCCCTCCCTTGCTGCAAGGAGATGCCCTGAGACTCCTGGAAATGGATTTGCCCAGGAAAGGAAGGGGCTTTTGCAGGACCCCCATCCCCACCCCTGCTGGCTCTGGCCTCCTGCTGGGACAGGACTCAAGGCCATGAGGGCAGGAGAGCCTAACTGAGAACCTATAAATGTGGCAGGCAGACCCTGCCTGACCCACAGAGCAGAAAAGAGCTGCCAAGGCCAGAGTAGAAGAGCCTCGGCGTGGTCCAGACTGGGCACCGTGAGACGGACTTCGAGGACCCGTGATTACTGGATAGACAAAGTCATGGAAGCCTGAGTTTCAGCGGAATATCCGCCTCTGCAAGGCGAGTCAGAGCTGTGGCGGTGCTGCACTGGAGCGCTGCTCTAGGTGCTGGGAGCCACACTAAGGAGGGTGAGTCCTGGTCCCCGGTGCACCAGTGCCCATGCCCGTGGTCCCGGCTAGCGGGCAGGGCTGGGGGAGACTGCAGGGAGACCCCGAAGGGGTGCCTGCCTGTCTCTCTTTCTCTTGCATGAAAGAAATACATATATAAATTAGATGAATTAAGTGAATTTTGTTGAGCTGGTAGATAAGGAACGAATCTGATAGCTTTAAAAGCCGCAAGGCACAGCAGAGAAATGCAAGACAGCAGGAACCGTGCGAGAAGAGGGGTCAGGAGGACAGAGCAGTGTCCGGAGGCAGAACAGCCGAGAGCCTCCTGTAACGGAGGTGGGGACGCTCTGTGGGCCATGAGCACAGGCCTCAGTGAGGGCCCAGAGACCGCAGGTGGAGGGAGAGCTTGAAAAGTAGCCAGGAGAGAAGCAACCCCACCTTCAGGGGAGCAAGGAGAGTGATGTCTGACTTCAAGAAGACAAGACAGGAGGCAGGGATGAGCAGACACGCACGTCTGAACAAACAGACGGGAACCGCCAAACTGGAAGTCCACGTCCGGTGAAAACCATCGAGGCATGCAGGTGGAGAAAGGGCGCCAGACGGCACAAGCCAAGAGCTCATTGCCACAGGCCGGGAACCACGGGCCGCCCACCTTGGGCCGCCCACCGCAGGCCGCCCTCCTGCTGCGGGAAGACCGTCCTGGGTTGAGACAGAGATGTAAGGACAGGTGGGCAGTCTGGCTCGGGGACGTGTGAGCAAGCACAGGGACAGCCCTCTCCGTGGGGTGTAGGACACAAGGGTCTTGCGTGGTTCTTACTGCTATGGGTGGACATAAAATACCCTGCTCACACCTTCCCTGGCAATAGCCATGAGGCGGAAAGGTAGAATAAGGGTCTTAGGACTTAGTGATGACTTAGTGTTAAGGGTTAGGTGTGTTAATAGGTATACAAAAGGTAAAAGAGAAAATAAAATTGAATTACAAACTCAATTGATATAAAAGAAGGCAGGAAAGGAGGAATTAGTAGAAGAGGGGTGAATGAAGAGTGACAAGGTGGTCGGGTGCAGACACCCTCTGTGGGTACAGGAAGCAGGCCCAACCGCTCGCCTGCACGGGAAACACCTGCGCACAGGGCATGGCAAGGTCGGGG